AAGGTTCGCCATCGCTGTCTTAGAATGTTCCTGGATGGGGAGGCCTTGCTCATAGACACTCTCTTTTGGATTACTGCAGTGCGGTCTACATGGGGCTGCCCTTGAAAGAGCATTCAGAAGCTTCAACTGGTGCAGAATGTGACTGTGTAGTAAAGCGTGTCAGATATTTGGCACATGTAACACCATTGCTTTGTGAACTGAATTGGTTATCAATGTGTTTCTGAGTGCAATTCAAGGTGCTATTTTCTTTAAAGCCCTTCATGGTTTGTGAATGGGTTACCTTAGGAACCATCTTCTCCCAACCATTTCTACCCAGCCAATTTAGTCAGGCGGGTTGGGAATGTCATCCTGTTAGATGAGGAATGTCGGCTGGTGGGAGTCAGAAGAAGTGCTCTCTGTCCTGTAGCTCTTGCCCCCTGATATATTCTCCCTTCAGGTATCAGGATGATCCTGACCCTGTCGCCTTTTGCTAGACTGCTTTAATTATTTAATGTTTTATGACATACACTGTCCAGAGTCACTTGTTGAGATGGGTTGTGATATGAATCAAATTTTTAAAAAATCCTTCCGAATCACTTGCTTTTTTTCTATCAAAAATGTGGAGCACTTTTTAATGAGTTATTATCCCTGTGTCTATCAGAATTTTCATTTGTGTATACTTGATCAACCTATCTCCTAGATGAGATGCTTTTGTGGAGAAATACGATTTTCCTATCCTTCACCTTTTGGTTGCCTTCACCTTCTGCTTCCCTTATCTTTGCCACAGATAATAGTTTTTTTCCCCTTAGTGTATCATCTCTTCATTTCTCAAGCCCCAAATAATGTGTGGATTATTTGAGTTTAGTTCTGTGGATTATCAGTTTGAGGAATAGCCAAACTAATTTATTGTCCATAATACTCTACTCATACATATTAACTTTAAGACATTTGCATTCTTTCTCTATACTCAAGAGAAGCTTCTTTTCATTTCTCTCTACTTTAATCTGATATCAAATATTCTTACACTATTTTTCATGATCTTGCCTCACTTTGATACCACCCTCCCTTCTTCAGCACACTGAACTCCTTTATCTATTCTTAAGTCTAAGAACATTCAATTTACAATTGTTTTGCCTAAAAAGTCAATTACTATTGCCTTTGTAATATTCAACACTAACCTTGATTTTTTGCTTTCCATTTTACTTTCAGAATGAGTCTTCTTCACTTTCAGATAATGCAATAGTGTTGTCTGATTATCTCAAGTTGTTACTATTTTTTGTTCATTGTAGTGGTTCCTCAGGAGAAGAATATGATATTGTGGCATGTGCATTAGTGTCTTTCATATTCTAGCACGAACTTTACAACCAAAAGTCTTGCTATTGTCAATAAATCAATACATCACTTTCTTATGTCCTATTGCTCTTCCCATTAGCCAGTAATCCTGTTTCTTCCTTTGTGAATAACTGTTTCTTTGTATGGGTGGGGCATGATATGTGTTTAAGTGTGCATACAAAATTTATTTCAAGACTGAATATGGAATTTTATTCTGCAGCTAGGTTAACATTTAGTTATTATAGTAAGATTTTAAGTGTAACTATTAACCTTGGAATAAATTGTTATAATCTGTTAGGACAAACTGTTCTTTGAATAGTGAAACCATTATTTTTTGAAAAGGTCCAGTGCTATAAAAAAGATCAAAGCTGTTCTTTGTTAAGAAGTAATTAAGCTCTCTCTCTCTCTAAATATGGAGAATGGCAAATGTCCAATGTTATTATCAGAGGTTCTCCATCAAACTCACCAGTCAGAGCAGGGTTGTCAAACTCATGGCCCAATACGTCACGCACTGGGCCTCACCCACGCCCAGTTTAGCGATGGGGAAAAAGGTTGCGATACATCACTTGCCCTGACTATGCAAGTTTTACACCCCTGAGTCAGAGGATGACCTGAACTTTAGCATGCACATAGAAAATTATTCACTACATCTTATTCTATTAAGAGATAAGCACCAATACTTCACCACCGTGTCTGGTTGTATTGTAGGTTAGATTATATGCAACTCAGGATTAAACTATTGAGTCCTTGGGAAGAAACAATACCTTAAATAAGGAATCAAGAAGAAGGAAGCCACACTTCCACCAAAACAGGATAAGATATCTTTACTTTCACTCATACTGAAGTAGTCTCCAAGGAAACAACCAAGCTCAAAGAGCAAGAAGAACCCAACAAAAAATTATTCAGCAGCAAGTTTAATCACCTCCTCTGAAGAATCCCAGCAATGGAAATGGTTGGCTATTGTCTTCTTTCAGGATGGAGTCTGTAGCCTTGAGATTTTCTGCTAAGGATTAACAGTCTGATCCAGCTTTGATTGTCTGATTCCTACAAGCAAAGTCGGATGAGGAAGCCAGCATGAGGTCACAGAGGATGACTACATGATGTCCTTGCTTATTGGCTACAATGATTCGCACAATGACAGCAACTGGAAGTGCTGGAGTTATTGTGCTTTACATTTCTTAGCAATGGAAAATCCAATCCCAATTACTGCCACTAAGTGAGGACTACCTGTAACAGATTTGAAAATCCAATTCAATTAGAAAATACAATTTAAATACAAATATTTCTTAATTCATTCTGCTTTGACCACTTAATAACTCTGGGCTATGCCTTCTAAGAATCAGGATAAATGTCCTGACTTGAGACTTGTTTAGATTTCTATCAAAGGATTTGATGCTAGAAGCAAAGGAGAGATACTGTTTTGTACTTTTGAGACTGTAATGCTGCATATGCTTTGTTACCAACAACAGAGATGATACATAGATGATAGAATTTCATCATGGATTATTTTCTTGGTAGAGCTTTATGTTGGCTTTTTCAAAGAATCACATGTACTGGCAAGGATATGCCGTATACAGTTCAATTATTTCTCAGAGGATTTCCCTAAAATCCAATCAGTTGAAGAATATAATCTACTCTCCTAATTTTAATTATTTATGAAGGCACAAGTATATCTAAAGCATTCAAATCTCTTCTGTTCCTAGTAGACCTTTAAGTCTATGCCAGCCAGACTGACTTTCAGTACACAGAATGCAAATTAAATAGAAGTTCTGAGCCAGGATCTCTAAAAATATCAATCAAAACACCAGGCACCAAAACATAGTGTCTAGACACCCATATCTGAAATCCTTCAATAATAATTAATAAACGCTCATTGATCATCACCAAGAAGGAAGCATTTTGTAGTGCTGAGTTCAGAATATCTGTAGGCCACAGGCATTGCATATCTGTCACAAATGATTGAAACATGCACACAGTTGTGGTAGATAATTTTACTTTTTTGTTCTTATGCAACTCTTTAACTGAAGTTTACAGTATGTGAACTCACAGTTCTCACAAAATTTACAGCTTATGTTTACTCATGCCTTGGTTATTTCCTCATTGGATTATTATAATATATCCATATGAGGCAGTCCTTAAAGACTATCTGGAAATTGCATCTGGTTCTAAATATTGCAGTGCCTACACCTCTGGGCAGTCCACAGTTTACTTATATTACATTGCTGCTGCAAGAACGGTCAATCAATCAGAATAGAGTTGGAAGGAATCTTGGAAGTCTTCTAGTCCAACCCGCTGCTCAAGCAGGAGACCCTATACCCATGATGGCGAACATATGGCATGTGTGCCACAGGTGGCACACAGCACCCTCTCTCTGGGAAAGCGAACCATCCCCTAGTTCAGCTTCACTGCTCATGCGCGTGTGCCTCCTGCCATCCAACTGGTCATCAGGTCTCTGCCGCGCATGCACAGGGAGCATGTGTGGGGCCATGTACGCATTGCATATTGGGGGTTTGGGCGCGGGTACTCGCTCATTGAGCTCTCACTCTGGAAAAGGTTAGCCATCACTGCCCTATACAATGTGAGAGAAATGGCTATCTAGTCTCTTCGTAAAAACCTCTAGTTATGAAGCATCCACAACCTCTGAAGGTAAGCTGTTCCACTGGTTAATTGTCCTTGCTGTTAGGAAGTTTTTCCTTAATTCCAGGTTGCGTCTCTCCTTGGTTTGTTTCCATATATTGCTTCTTGTCTTGCCTTCTGGTGCTTTGGAAAATAAGTTGATCCCCTCTTCTTTCTGACAGCCGCTGAAATATTGGAATATTGCTATCGTGTCACCCTTAGCCTTCTTTTCTCTAAACTAGCCATTCTCTGTTTCTGCAATGGTTCTTCATATGTTTTAGTCTCCAGTTCTTTAATCATCTATTGGTCAGGCACCCATTGTTCAAATGGAAGCAATGTGACTTCTATCCCCCCCCCCCAGTGCAATTCAAGGGGAACTATTAACTTTAAAGCCCTAAATGATTATAACTTTTAAAGCCCTCAATGACTTGCAGGACCATGACTCCCTGAGGGTATCCCATTCCAGGTTAGATATGATAGGCATACTCCAAGTCCCTTCCAAATGTTGCCATTTGGCAATGTGCCTTCTCCTTATCTCTCACTGCCCACTAGAGTACCCTTCCTCCTGGAAATCCCGCAGAGCTCTATTCCCCTGGTCTTCTGGAAGGCGTTCAATAGCTGGCTTTATCTACAAGTGTTCAAAAGGAGTGAGATTGGCGCGCAGAAGGTAGAAATGTTTGAGAAAGTATTGTCTTAGGGTGCCAGGAATTGTTACTGTAATTGTTGGGAGTTGATATTTTTTATTGTTTTGTCAAGTGTTCAGGGTTATGGTTCACAATATAAGCAGCTATATAAACATTTTAAAATAAAGTTGAATGCTTACGGGGAGTTTGGGAGACATTAGAAACTGAAGAATGCAACTTATGGTCAGATACTTTATCTGAAATTGTTTTATTTGTTAACTTTTAGGTAATGGTGTTGTAGATTTGGCTGGTTGAACAATCTGGTGGTCTTTTATTATCAGAGATAGCTGAGAGTTGCTGCCCCTGTATACATGTCTACAAAGACTTTAAATTTTTATTTCACTAAAATGCTCAGCAAATGGAAATAACAAACACATATCTTTTTCATAGGTACAATGGCTGCCTCCCTAATGGTGACCGGGGTCGTAGGAAAAGCAGATTTGCCCTTTATAAAAGACCTAAAGCAAATGGCGTCAAACCTAGCACTGTTCATGTGATTTCAACACCTCAAGCATCTAAGGTATTGTCACTAATTCTCAGAGCTTGGGCCTCATGCTACGTTTTGCCGAGCAGCAATGATTGAATGTGTGTTATCCCTTTCTGGTGCTAGAAGGTATTTTTTGCATTGAGCATACTTTATTGGGTCTTTGAGTACAATGATGTTTGCATTAAGAATTCCTTCATCTGGGCTAATAAATAGATGTTGACAAAAAGTTTCAAATCTACAATTTCTGAGCTTGAATGTTCTTTAAGCTCTGATATTCTATTTCTAATTCACGTTAGCTATTTGATGTTATTGGAAATATACAGTCCTATTCCAATTTTCCAGATGTTGTCCATACTGAAAGAAGTAGTATTTCCAAACACCCCCCCCCCAATAACCATTTAGAGTGGGTTTAGGGCATCTTGAGTCTTAGAACAACTCTGGAATATATTTTACAAAATGACAAAAAAAAACCCACCATGTTGAAACTTTAAAACCTCAGACTGAAATGCATTTCAAAATTTAATCCATGGATTCATAGATGCATGGACAATTATGAATCCTGCAATAAAAGCAAATACATTTTATTCAGGTAGACATGAATCCCACTCTAGGATAAACTATATAAATATTTAGATCTTTCCAATTTTTTTGCAATATGTTGAACTGCTTCAGATCACGCTCCAATGATTATTATGCACAAATTAGAAAAGATTATTCATTTACTTAGAAATCATGTTTTAATCTTATAATGGCATGCAATGCATTAGCAAAGCAACAACTAACTCAAATTTTGAGAAACTTTTTTCAAGAAAATAATATAAATGGAACATTAGTAAGGGTGAGACGGGATGTTGTCAAGGCAATAGTAAGGGAACATGAGATAAGCATAATTTAAAAAACATGACTGCAAAAAACACTTTATTCAGAAGTTAACAATATAGCAAAACATATAATAGAACCGTATCAGTGAGTATAATATACAAACAGATGGAAAATAAAAGGAGAGAGATTATTTGCAGACAGATGAAATCTCCTGCAAATTATTTTCTGTCAAGTAAATACAACTTTCCCAGAATTAATTCCAGAAGATGTACAATTTTTGGAATCTCCTTTCTCTGTTTCAGAAATCTCTGAAGTCTTTAATTCTATTCAAAATGTAAAACCTCCTGGCCGTGATTGATGGTCAGGGGAATTTTATAAAGAATTTAAAGATATGTTAATATTTTTATTTTTATATAATAGTTTGCACCAAGAGGACTCTTTTCCAGAGTCTTGAAAATAATCTAAGATTATTTTGATCATTAAAATGACTACAAATTCACAGAAATTGTCATTTTATAGGCCCAATTCACAACTCAATGTGGATTATAAACCATACACAAAATTGTTAGCTAACCACTAATTATAAGTGACATCATTCATATATTTAACATATGAATGTAAATTTATATTTAATTAATATTTTATTCCAATTTAAAATACAACTATCCAATCAGAAAACTATTGACTACTATAGAAATTAGTAAAACTAATTAAGCTTCATTAGTAATGTATCTTTTTGATATATTTAAAGTTTAAAGTCTTTGATTCTCTGGAAATAGCATTTTTAAAACCAAATATTAAATAAATCTAGATTTGGGGCTGGCTGTCGTAAGATGATTGAACATATATATATATGGAACAACTAAAGTGCAGATAAGACTTAACAGCTTTGATTCAGATTATATTGTGATTTTAAAAAGTACCAAGCAGGGTTGTCTCTTATCACAGGGGTCTCAAACTCGATTTCATTGAGGGCCACATCAGGGTTCTGTTTGACCTCGGTGGGCTGGAGATAGGTGTGGCTGGAGAGGGCGTGACCATGGTGGGCGTATGACACAGGCTCAAGATGCATTTTCCCCCTTTGCATTCAAAAAAGCTATTCCAGACAATGGAAGATTTACTTTCTGGCACAAATAGTCTCAAATGCATAATGTAGAGATTAAAGACATATAGAGTCCCCAGCTGCTATGGGGCTTGACTCTTTTGTATAGGAGCAGAACATAAATGAACTGACAATTTCTCCAGATGTCCCTGAAACCTGTCTGTCCAACAGTCTATCAATCTTTGTTACTACCTGTGACATAGTCCTAGAGGAGGACTTAATATTAGTAATAATTTACAAAATTTATATACCACCCAATTCTTAATCACCCTGGGTGTCTCACAACAACAACAAAATTACAATTAAATCAATCACAGGTAAAAGATTAAGATAAAAGATGACAAACAGTGATACAAGGGGGCTCTCTCTCATCAAAGACCTGGGTGAAGAGCCAGATATTTTTGGGTCCAACAGCCATCCAGATCTTGGAGGGTACCTAGTTCTAGTTGGCAGATGCTGCTAAAGAGAAGGTGAAAAAGGTACTGCTACCTGGCACTATGCCAGTCAAAATGGGCCACGGATATTGATGTATCTTCTAATGAACTTCTATTTAGAAAATGATTTGAAAGATGATATAGACACCTTGATGTATTGGGCCCTAGTCAGTTTTGACACAACTGTATGCTGCTGCCAAATGATTTAGACACTGTCTTGGAGGAGGAAAAAGAACAAATGTTAAATGAATCAAATGTGAAAAAATACATCAGCTTCAGGAGGCAGAGTCTCAAGGTTTAGATATAATACTTATAACTCAGTAGTTCAAAGCTTAGCATCTGGTTCTCCTTATCTGGATTTAGAAGCTGTGCAGAGTTAAGCCTGGTTAATATTTGGGTGGAACTATGGGGTGTGGGGGAATAACCCAATCATGGAGGTTATCTAGTTCTGATTGGCAGATGCTGCTAAAGAGAATGTGAAGCAGGTGCTGCCTCCTGCAGCACTCTACCAGCCAAAACAGGCCGCAGGCCCCCTCCCCCCGAGCAACCCATTTTTGGCCTCCATGGCCTCCTGTAGCACTCAGCTGGCTGAAAATGAGCTCACGAAGCCCTATATGTGGCCATTTTGGCCTCCACGGCATCCTGCTGCTAACCCTGAAGCTGACCTGGCCGAAGCCATATCCCTTGCTCTAAAGTGGCAACACTGAAACTGCAAGATGGTTTTGGCCAAGTCAGCAGATCAACCTTGTCACCCGCAGCAGGTTTTGGCCAGCAGAGGCACCACGGGCCGGTCCTTTGATATTTCTAGGCCAACAGTGGGCCAGAACTAAGCAGCCTGTGGGCTGGATTCGGTGGCAGGCCTTGAGTTTGAACCCCTGTCTTATCACCTCTATTATTCAATCTAGTTATAGAAGTGCTAGTAACAGCACTATATCCAACAATCAGATTTACTGATAAAATTGGGAGACATATATCTTTTCTCTCTCTCATACACACATACACACCCCTTCCCAATGTAGGAGAGATTCTAAAAAAAAATCCCTTTTTTCACTTGTAGTGGTCATGTGATAAAGATACACCCTTTTGGTGTAAAAATTTTTGAGAATTAGTAACATTACTAAACCAAAAATTGATGTCCCCAAGTTGGCTTATTGCATTTATTTTAAGCCTAAGATTTCATCTTGTAAATAAAGAACTTATCTGTGTAATTTTAGCAGTCAAAACAATAGTTGCACAACATTAGAAAACTTGATAACATTTAAGATTTGAAATAACAAGGTCTCTTCAATTACCACATTAGGAAAAAAAAATCACAGATAAAGTTAAAATACGTAGTGAGACATCAGAAGCAGTACAATAGTTTTGTCAAATTTGGATGGATTTTATGGTTTATCTCAATAACAACAGACCAGCATATAGTATATTTTACATATATGATACTGTATATTTGTATATGCAGTATCTGTCTCTTTATTTACATTGTAGTAATACTGTTTTGTATGTTCTGTATCTTTTTTTCTTTAAATGTAACTTGGATTTATAATGTAGTTACCTGATACAGTTTCTAATCATAGTTTAATAAATATAATGGGAAAACCTGAAGGAGTTTTTATGCTTTTAAAATTACTGTGTAAGATATGGTTTCTGGGTGTCTGCCCAGAAAACAGTGATAAAATGAGTTACAACTAGTGCTCTTTCTGAAATGCATAAATACTTCTGAAATCTTTAGCAAAGCCTTTACTTTATATTATTTTTCTGGTGGCTTAAGGAGCTGTGACCTAAACCAAAAGAACTAAATGTACTTTTGCATCTTCTATAGTAGCATGGTTTCCAAACACAGAACAATACTGTTCCCTTCCTTGAATAAAATCCATGTTAGAATAAAAGCTTGCATATTTTAGAGACAGTTTCTTAGTACTGAATTCTTCTTCTTCTGTAAACTAAATGTAAATCCCTATTGATCTGTTTTATTGAATAAGATCTGTTTGGGGTATGTTTAGTATACCATGGAAGTTATGTGATATAATCAAGTGCACTGTACAGGTAGTCCTCGATTTACAACAGTTCATTTAGTGATCGTTCAAAGTTACAATGACACTGAAAAAAGTGACATGACCATTTTTTACACTTATGACTGTTGCTGCATCCCCATGGTCACGTAATCAAAATTCAGATGCTTGGCAACTGGTTCATATTTATGATGCTTGTGGTGTTCCAGGATCATGGGATCACCTTGGTAACCTTTTGACAAGCAAAGTCAATGGGCAAGCCAGATTCACTTTAACAACCGTGCTACTAACTTAACAACTGAAGAGATTCACATAACAATTATGGCAGGGAAGGTCATAAAATGGAACAAAATTCACTTAATTGTGTCACCCAAAAATAGAAATTTTGGGCTCAATTGTAGTCAGAAGTTGAGGACTACCTGTAGTTGGTTGTCTCACTTTCCAGGCACATCTTTTCTCCTGACACGGGTCAAGGATCTCTAATAGCATGATTCCTTTGTGTTTCGTGACAATATATTTGAAAAAGTGCCTGGAGAAGTAGATAATTAACTATTTCTAATTAGTTTCATGTATGTCCCCTTCTTACACTTCTTGATTTTTGTGATTATTTTCAAGTCTAGATCTGGAAACTCTTTTGTTTGGTTTATTCCCCCCCCCCCAATTTCA